CTTCATAAAGTCAGTCCAGGTTGTGTGTGTTTTGTGCTTGTGACGTCAGAAGGTTTGACCCAGAGGTGAAGAGCAGGAAAATCTCTGAAATGACGATTTGTTGGTGGAGGCTCAGGTCCAAATAAGGTTCAGACGCCAAACAAAAGTCTGGTGCAGGAGTTTGGTTCTGTCTGCAGCTGCAGGAGACCAACAGGAGCCGCACAGGAGCCACACAGGAGCCGCACAGGAGCCCCACAGGAGCCACACAGGAGCCACACAGGAGCTGCACAGGAGCCGCACAGGAGCCGCACAGGAGCCGCACAGGAGCCAGGAGCCGCACATGAGCCACACAGGAGCCCCAGAGGAAGTCCACAGGAGCCGCACATGAGCCACACAGGAGCCCCAGAGGAAGTCCACATGAGCCGCACAGGATCCGCACAGGATCCGCACAGGAGCCCCAGAGGAAGTGCACAGGAGCCGCACATGAGCCACACAGGAGCCCCAGAGGAAGTCCACACAGGAGCCGCACAGGAGCCGCACATGAGCCGTACAGGAGCCGCACAGGAGCCACACAGGAGCCCCAGAGGAAGTCCACAGGAGCCGCACAGAGGAGCCAGGAGCCGCACAGGAGCTACACAGGAGCCCCAGAGGAAGTCCACATGAGCCGCACAGGAGCCGCACAGGAGCCCCAGAGGAAGTCCAGAGGAGCCGCACATGAGCCGCACAGGAGCCACACAGGAGCCCACAGAAGCCCCAGAGGAAGTCCACATGAGCCGCACAGGAGCCACACAGGAGCCGCACAGGAGCCGCACAGGAGCCGCACAGGAGCCCCACAGGAGCCGCACAGGAGCCCACAGTTCCAGTCTCCAAATGTAAAAGAGACGTTTGTCCACACAAGAAAACACATTTCTTAATGACTTTTCATAATTCTCCAACTGTATCACTGTTACATAAAACACATCCTGTTCATTTGCTGTGGAGTCATTTCAGAACTTCTACTTACTGAATATATTTTTAAAATATTTTTTTATACATGATGAAGTCTCCTGAAATGGTTTTCACTTCACAGCTGTGCCATGTCAGGGTCAAAACATGCCAAAAGTGCAAAGCAAAGGCTGTTGTTTACAATCTAAAATTCTAATCTTCAAAAGTTTGGAGTTACTTTGAGTTTTGTTTGTTTTTTGCTGCATCCATCTGTGCCATTCATAGATGTGTTGCCTTCAGGGAGATTCTACAGTGTAAATAATCATGGGAATAAAGACAAATATAAATTCTAGTTGTACCGGCTTGTCAAAGCCTGATCCCATCAGATCTCAAAAGTTCAGCAGGTCCGGGTCTGGTCGGGACTTGGATGGAGACACTGGAAAAATCAGAAGCCACAGGGGGGAGCCAGTCACAAAAACTGTTGTTGTGTCCTTAGGCAAGACACTTCACCCACATTGCCTAGTGTGAAGGTGGTGTGTGTGAGTGATGGTGGTCAGAGAGGCCGTTAGTGATGAACACAAATCTGAAGGTTGGCAGTGCAATTCCAGCTCCCACAGATGAATGCTGTCATTGTGTTCTTGGGCAACACACTTGACCCCCCCCCTCACCCACAGTGTCTGTGTGTGAATGGCTGAGTGGCTCCTTGGTGTAAAACCCTTTGAGCCTTGAAGGTGGAAAAGTGTTTTTTGTCAACAATATTTCCATGGAAACAAACCGGAGAAGGTCCTGCTCCAGGCCTAATAAGAATAAACACAACCAAAATGGAATTATTATTATTATTATTATTATTATTATTATTATTATTATTATTATTATTATTATTTTAGTGTGTTTCTGGCTAAAAAGTGACATACTGTGGCTTTAAAGTGACCACAGATGGAGAAGCGTCCTACTTTACATGTCACTTGTAAACTCTGGTGTGTCCACATCTGCCCTCCCTCCGTCTGTCAGAACACATTACATCAGTCGCCCTGAAAAACCCCACGGTGTGTTTGAGTCTCATCGCCATGACAGCGCCGCCATCTCATCGCCATGACAGCGCCGTGTCCTCCACATCTGCCGCTCGCCCTCCGCTCCCGGGGACAGAGTTTAACGCTGTAATCCGCCCTGAGCTGCCGCTACAGCCCCCTAGTGGCCGCCGCTCGCCGCAGCCACCGCGCGCCGCCGCATTTATCAAGATAATGCCCAGATATTTTTAACCCTTTCATTTTTCAGCCCAGGCACCGCTCAATTCCCACACGCGCCCCTCAGCTCGGCAGGGACTTGTGATTCATGGATGCACGTGTCTGAAAATCACTCGCCCCTGTCGCTCCAGTCGCTGTGCCTATAGATTACTTAAAGCTGCTTTAGACCTGGTTTAGTCCTGCTTTTGTTCTAGAATAGACCTGGACTAAACCTGGTTTGGCCCTAGTTTACATCTTTTGTCCCAGTTTAGAAATAACATGATTAAATTGGCAGTCGAAACAGGAAAACTACCTGAACAAAACAAGAAAAAAAATCAGGCATATAACATGACACTTGTACCTAAAGATGACTTAAACATGGTTTAGACTCGGTTTAGTCCAGGTTTAGACTGAGTTTAGTTCTAGTTTAGACCAGGTTCAGTCCTAGTTTATACCTTTGGCCCTGGTTTAGACATAACATGACTAAATTAGCAGTTTAAATGGGAAAAGTACCAGAACTAAACCAGGATCAAGCCAAGTCTAACACTGAACTGTGTGGCTCCTCTCTCCTTGGACCTGAAGCTTTTGGACCTCGTTTAGTCATAGTCCAGTTTTAGTTTAGACTGAAAACCAGGACTAAACCCGGTTTGTAACTGAGCCAAATTAGCACTAAAGCAAGTCCAAACATGAAGACTACATGTGGTCTAAAACAAGACTAAACTAGATACAGAGAGTTAAATAGCTTAAATTGCTGTTTTATGGTCTAGTCCCGGCGAGTACCTGCAAATAACTGCTGAAACTGGTGTGTTTTGAAGTTCTAGAATTTACGGGCGAGTCAAGTGAATCAGATGAACGACGAAGGGGAAAAAAATACTTGACACGCGTCCACTGCCCTGGAAACAAGTGACATGTCCCGTCTTTTCCCTGATCGATGGACCAGGCTGAGAGAGACTTTGGTGTATTTATTATATAAAACCATCAGCAGAGGTTTAGTCCTGCTTCAGTCCTGGTTTAGACCTGGTTTAGTCCTGGTTTAGTCCTGGTTCAGTCCTGGTTTAGTCCTGGTTCAGTCCTGGTTTAGTCCTGGTTTAGTCCTGGTTTAGTCCTGGTTTAGTCCTGGTTTAGTCCTGGTTCAGTCCTGGTTTAGACCTGGTTCAGTCCTGGTTTAGTCCTGGTTCAGTCCTGGTTTAGTCCTGGTTCCTGGTTTAGTCCTGGTTTAGTCCTGGTTTAGTCCTGGTTTTAGTCCTGGTTCAGTCCTGGTTTAGTCCTGGTTTAGTCCTGGTTTAGTCCTGGTTTAGTCCTGGTTCAGTCCTGGTTCAGTCCTGGTTTAGTCCTGGTTAGTCTGGTTCAGTCCTGGTTCAGTCCTGGTTTAGTCCTGGTTCAGTCCTGGTTTAGTCCTGGTTCAGTCCTGGTTTAGTCCTGGTTTTAGTCCTGGTTTAGTCCTGGTTTAGTCCTGGTTTAGTTCCTGGTTTAGTCCTGGTTCCCTGTTCCTGGTTTAGTCCTGGTTCAGTCCTGGTTTAGTCCTGGTTTAGTCCTGGTTTTAGTCCTGGTTCAGTCCTGGTTTAGTCCTGGTTTAGTCCTGGTTTAGTCCTGGTTTAGTCCTGGTTTAGTCCTGGTTTAGTCCTGGTTCAGTCCTGGTTTAGTCCTGGTTTAGTCCTGGTTCAGTCCTGGTTTAGTCCTGGTTTAGTCCTGGTTCAGTCCTGGTTTAGTCCTGGTTCAGTCCTGGTTTAGTCCTGGTTTCAGTCCTGGTTTAGTCCTGGTTCAGTCCTGGTTTAGTCCTGGTTTAGTCCTGGTTTAGTGCTGGACCCCAGTTTATCACGGGCAGGTAACAGGTGGAATATTAACGGGTCCGGGCAGGGTGTGGATGTAACGTTTATATAGTGACAGGATAACGGGCGGGTGTGTGTGGGCACATGTCTCCATGGACCCAGGCAGGGACTCTGATCTATGTTATAAACACATAACAGATCTGCTGATGTTTTTGTTTTTTATTTTTTGTTTCCATTGTTTAACTCTTTAGACTGTGTGATGTCATGTGGTGATACAGGAAGTGCTCCACCATGTTTTTAACCTCCACACACTTTCAGTTCTGGCAGTTTTGTCTTATACATTCATAATTATCAACATAAACCATATCATAGACCACAGGTGTCAAACATACGGCCCGGGGGCCAAATCCGGCCCTCCAAGACCTTTAATCTGGCCCTCGGCTGATTTTCTACTAAAATATTTTAATTATATTTTCTATTAAAATATTGTTAATTTTCTGTGGTGTTTATCACAGCAGCGTCTCCAGCGTCTCTGTACGTGGCCCCTCCCACCAGAGCAGCACAAATGAAGACTTGTCTCTTTCCAAACGCTCTTAAAGGACGATCGTTTTGACTGTTGACCGTGACACCCTCATCAGAAAAATGTCCAACATGAGAAAAGTGGAGCCGAGTGCAGGATTTTACAAGAAAAATAGACTTATTCATATTTACAAACAAGTTCATGTTAAAACTTTGTGTTGAAATTGAATTTTTCTTAAAGTTTCAGGTTGTTCATAATATTATAATATTTAGTAAAAGAAAGAGTTCATCAATTAAAAAAGATTTCTGTAATAGATTAGTGTTTCTCTGCACAAATATTTGAACTTATTGTTATTTTTGGGGTTTATATGACATGAGTTTTCTGATCCGGACACTTTAGGATCAAAGTCGGTTGGATACGGCCCCCGGACCAAAATGAGTTTGACACTCCTGTCATATTAATGCTATAAATATTTTTACTAGAAATGCTTTGTACCGACACATGCACGGTTCAGCTCCAAGTATAACAGAAGCAGCGTGTTTGAAATCTTCTGCTCTGATTCTGTTTCCTCTGTGTTTTCTTTAGGACTTTGGAGATGACGGCTCTCTGTACATCACCAAAGTCACCACCATCCACATGGGCAACTACAGCTGCCACGCCTACGGCTACGAGCAGCTGGCACAGACGCACGTGCTCCAGGTCAACGGTCAGTCTAAAGTACTACTGCTTCTGTACTCTAAAACTACACCTAACACATGTACTGCAGGTCAACAGTCAGTCTGTAGTACTACAGCTCCTGTACGTCTAAAGTAGAAGTAATGCTGTGTTCCTGTGGTCCTCAGGCTCTCTCTCTGGGTTAGGGTTAGGGTTAGGGCGCTAACGTACGAGAGTGTGATTTTAAACCCGATGAGGCCGAGAGAGCAACGGAGATTTATTTTAAGGTGAAATTTCTGCGTTGAAGGGCCAATATGACACAATTTTCTGATGTTCTGATGTGGTTTCCTCATCACAGACACATTTGGAGTTGTGTTTTGTTTCATTTACACATTTTAAACACCAAATCCTGCACATTTAGACCGAGTTCTTCTCTCAGACAAACAAAAACAAAAGAAAACAAAACAAAAAGACACCTTGTGATGTGATGAGGTAACACGGGAAGTTAAATCCTGGTTTTGTCCTGGTTCAGTCCTGGTTTAGATCTGGTTTAGACCTGGTTTAGTCCTCCTGGTTTAGTCCTGGTTTAGTCCTGGTTTAGTCTTAATTTAGTCCTGGTTTAGATCTGGTTTAGACCTGGTTTAGACCTGGTTTAGACCTGGTTTAGACCTGGTTTAGTCCTGGTTTAGTCCTGGTTTAGTCTTAATTTAGTCCTGGTTTAGTCTTAATTTAGTCCTGGTTTAGTCTTAATCTAGTCCTAGTTTAGACCTGGTTGAGTCCTGGTTTAGGCCTGGTTTAGACCTGGTTTAGTCTTAATCTAGTCCTAGTTTAGACCTGGTTGAGTCCTGGTTTAGGCCTGGTTTAGACCTGGTTTAGTCCTCATGGTTCAGTTCTGGTTTAGTCTTTGTTTAGACCTGGTTTAGTGCTGGTTGAGACCTCAGTCTCTCTCTTTGGTTCATCTCCTCAGAGCCGTGACGTCAGGTGTGGAACTCTGTTATTTCTGACTTGTGCTGCGGTCAGGTGCAGTTTACAACTCAGAAAAGCATTTTCCTGAGTTCTCAAGTTCTCGAGGAACACATGAACACAGCATAACAAGCACTGCAGGTCAAAGGTCACTGCTCTAACAGCTCTTATACTCGTAAAGCAGACCTAACGCACGTACTGCAGGTCAAAGGTCACTGCTCTTATACAGTTATAGCAGATCTAACACATAAAGGTCAGTTTGTACACCTACAGTCTGATCTAAACTGCAGTACACATAAGGACTGTACAATATATCCAGTTGGCTTTTAATAACACTTTTCACAGTCGCTGGCTCTGACACATCACATGTCACATCACATCACATACGGCATCATGGGCAAAAAATAAATATTCTGTCTGTATATAGAATCATCTTGTACCTGTAGTCTAGACCTCTTCAAACAGGTTCTGAAATGCAAAATTTAAATTCAAAAAAGTTTATTGTTAAATTTCCATATGAACATTTGGGAAATTGAAACGATGTTCTCAATCTTAACTTTCTAAATTAAATAATAACTGCACTGGGTCAGGTACCTGCAAATAGTTGCTGAAACGGGCGGGTTTTAATGTCCTGGGATTATGCGGGCGGGTCGTGTTTACACACAGGCGAGTCACATGAATCAAATATATATTATACAAAATATAAAAGATAAAAAAGAAGATATGTAAAGATATATATATATATATATATATATATATATATATATATATATATATATATATATATATATATATATATATATATATATATTAGACGATCATGTACAGATAGTGGTAATCAGAGTGTGTTCAGTCGCCTACTGGGGGCTACGATGTTTAAACTAGAGCCTATGTCACTTAACAGCGACTGCTGCAATTTTCTCCAGCAGCATTCATGGTGTATGGAGTACAGTGTTGGGAAGGTGACTTTTAAAATGTAATCCCCTACAGATTACAGATTACAAACCCCAAAATGTAGTTTGTAACGTAATCCATTAAGTTTCTTAAAGTGAGTAATGTAATCTGAATACTTTGGATTACTTGATTTTCTGTAGAGAAGCAAAGACGAGAAAATCTTCACATAAGATGTTTTGTTTGATAAAAGAAAATAAAAACCCCAGACTTTACTGAACCAAATTAAAAATATTATTGATAGAAGATGAGACACGTCCACACAGCAGGATTTAGTCCTGTTAAGTCCTGGTTTAATCCTGTTTTACTCCTGTTTAGCTCTAGTTTAGACCTGGTTTAAACCTGGTTTTAGACCTGGTTTAGACCTGGTTTAGATCTAGTTTAGATCTAATTTAGACCTGGTTTTAGTCCTGGTTTAGAACCTGGTTTAGACCTGGTTAAGATCTAGTTTAGACCTGGTTTAGTTTCCAGCAATGAGTGGAATTACCGAAAAACAAAACAAAAAAACAAAACAAACAAACAAACAGGAAAATCCCACCGTGTAATCCATTTATTTCAACAAAGTAACTGTAATCCAATTACCACTCATTGAAACAGTAACTGTAACTGAATACAGTTACTCATAATTTGTACTCTGATTACGTAACTCTGGTACATGTAATCTGTTACTCCCCGACACTGATGGAGTATCGCCATGACAGACGAGATAAAAGTGAAGTTGGCGAGTGGTGCTTATAAAATAGTTTACAGTGACTCTTCCAATTATCACAATCACACACGGGGAACCGCTGGAATGTTGATAGGTCCGGGCGGGTGCAAATTTAACTTTGCTATAATCACAGGTGCGGGTGTGTGCGGGCGGGCGGGTGTGGGCGGGTGCGGGCGGGTGTGGGGTGGGTGCGGGTGTGTGTGGGCGGGTGTGGGCGGGTGTGGTCCAGGCAGGTGCAGGCCTCCAAAAATGGACCCTTGTAGGACTCTGATGCAGATTCCTGCTTCCTGGCTGCCTGGAGGTTAGAGGGGGGGAAGAGTTCAGCATCCTAACAGCCTGGTGCATGTCATTATGAGTTTAAAGGTTCTATATCACACAGAACTGACTCTTGTGAACTTTAAGCCGTGTTAGAATGCTGCTACCTTCTCAAAAACAAACCTGGACTTGTGTTTTGTTTCATTCACACATGTTTGAGTGACACTTATTTTTTCTATTATTCATCTGTCTACATCTCCAAGGGTCAGAAGACTCTGTTCCACCTTGTGATGTCATGTAGTTGTAGTTCTCCTTTTACTTTTAGTTTAATAGAGACCGACAATTGCAGGTCTAAAATCATCTTAATGATTCTGGTGAAGGTGTATGGAGTTTCAAAAACACGGCGGAGCACTTACCACGTGACATCACAAGGTGGAACAGAGTGTGTGAATGAAACAAAACACAACTCCAGGTCTGTTTGTGATGAGGAAACTCCATTAAAACACAGATGAGTGTAATACGAGCACTTCTACTTTTCAAACATACAAACAAATCCCAGTTAGATTCAAAATGTGTGTGTTCCTCGTTTATAAAAATACAAACACTATTAACTCTGCGTTTAAGCCTCACGACGGGTAAAGTACATGTTGTTTACTTCATCAGAAACATGACTGGGGTTTGTACTACTCACTGGCGCATGTTTGAGTAATTAGGCCTATTTATCTTGTACTCGGTTGCGTGCAGTCGTACACGGGCTAAGTTTTCATTTAAAACAAAGTACTGCATATTAATCACGGGCCTTATTACCGGCGAAACCCAAAACGTGCAAATTAAAATACCCCCTGCGCGTAAAACCATCCCTCACCCGCGCGCCCCCGTCGTTAGCGCTCCGTCTGCGCCGAGAAGTGGAAAAAAAACTCGTATTAATCTTTTTCAATTACGCAGGACAAAAGCTGTGATTGTGGAAAAGAGTGCGTTCAGGGTTGTGTCAGGTGAGATAAGTGCGTCTGGGAAACCGCCAAAAGAGGAATTAAGCTAAAAGGGTATTAGCATTAGCTTTGGCGCTAACGTACGAGAGTGTGATTTTAAACCCGATGAGGCCGAGAGAGCGACGGAGATTTATTTTAAGGTGAAATTTCTGCGTTGAAGGGCCAATGTGACACTATTTTCTGATGTTCTGATGCGGTTTCCTCATCACAGACACATTTGGAGTTGTGTTTTGTTTCATTTACACATTTTAAACACAAAAATCCTGCACATTTAGACCGAGTTCTTCTCTCAGACAAACAAAAACAAAAGAAAACAAAACAAAAAGACACCTTGTGATGTGATGAGGCAACACGGGAAGTTAAATCCTGGTTTTGTCCTGGTTCAGTCCTGGTTTAGACCTGGTTTAGTCCTGGTTTAGACCTGGTTTAGTCCTGGTTTAGTCCTGGTTTAGTCCTGGTTTAGAATTTAGTCCCTGGTTTAGATCCTGGTTTAGACCTGGTTTAGTCCTGGTTTAGTCCTGGTCTTAATTTAGTCCTGGTTTAGACCTGGTTTAGTCCTGGTTTAGTCCTGCTTTAGTCCTGGTTTAGTCCTGGTTTAGTCCTGGTTTAGACCTGGTTTAGTCTTAATCTAGTCCTAGTTTAGACCTGGTTGAGTCCTGGTTTAGGCCTGGTTTAGACCTGGTTTAGTCCTCATGGTTCAGTTCTGGTTTAGTCTTTGTTTAGACCTGGTTTAGTGCTGGTTGAGACCTGGTTGAGTCCTGATTTAGACCTGGTTGAGTCCTGGTTTAGACCTGGTTTAGTCCTGGTTTAGTCCTGGTTTAGTCCTGGTTTAGTCCTGGTTTAGTCCTGGTTTAGTTTTAGTCCTGGTTTAGACCTGGTTTAGTCCCTGGTTTAGTCCTGTGGTTTAGTTCCTGGTTTAGTCTTAGTTTAGACCTGGTTTAGACCTGGTTCAGTCCTGGTTTAGACCTGGTTCAGACCTGGTTTAGACCTGGTTTAGATCTGGTTTAGTCCTCATGGTTCAGTTCTGGTTTAGTCCTTGTTTAGACCTGGTTCAGTCCTGGTTTAGACCTGGTTCAGTCCTCATAGTTTAGTCCTGGTTGAGTCCTTGTTCAGACCTGGTTTAGACCTGGTTTAGACCTGGTTTAGTCCTCATGGTTCAGTTCTGGTTTAGTCTTAGTTTAGTCC